GTACTATGTTCCCACATTAAGACATCGTTGCCGCCCCTGACTTGTCGCCTATACCGGCAATGACAGCGTCAAGGAGATCTCGCTTCGGTTTCGCTTTCGGTTCGAAAAATAACGATGGGCGCTCTCATTACTCTTTAGCTTCCCTGCCTTGAGCTTCTCATACACATCCAACAAGGAATAAGCAATAGCGAATTGTTCTGAAAAAGCCGCTTTCAAGCTGAGGTAGCCTGGTGCTACCGCCAATCTGGCTAACAAGTTCGCAGTCCCGTCCAACAATCGGCTCAGGCACAGCAGCTGAATTCGTTTATTAACGCGCATTATTCAGAAAACATCCTCCGGCTCGACAAACCATTTGCGGTCATCGTATTTGTCATCGCCCGTAAACTTTGGTACCATCATCTCGATTGTAGCTATGTCGATATTACCACCATGATGCGACTATCGTGCAGCTGTTGGATCTCGTGTTGCAGAGTTAAAATTTCACGTTGTTTCTTCAACCGTGCAATTTCCAGCTCCATATCACCAGCTCCTGTAAAATTGGATGGATGAGCGCTAGCTGTATCTTTCTACGTTGGCCGTAGCACTAGCGACGGAAGCGGCAGGAATATTGGCATTATCCTCAGATATATGCGCAGCAACTACCTCAGATACAACTGTTACCAACAGGTTAGGTTCCGAAGTTTTGTCCTCTGTTAGATTATTAGCAGTGCTTACTTGGACACCCATCACTTCGTCACAAAGTGAACGCAGTTGCGCGATGGTCGCGGTTTTCGGAGACGCAAGTCCGGCTTGTGCTAATAGGCTTTCTCTTAAACAGGATTTTTCCGAAATCGCAATTCGTGTACACAACTATAATATTTAAGCAAACTTCCGATTAGCTTTTTAGGCCACTTCTGAAAAGCTATAATAGCCCAAGATGACCATGGCGTTTTTCTTGCGTACTTCACGCTTCGATGTCCCAACCGTAAGAAGACATATTTGTTCTTTTTCTCTATTTTTACATTATAAGGGTTACCACATTAACAACAATTTCTTACAAATTACCAATGTTACGTTGCCACATAAAAACTTTTAGAAATATGAACTATTTAACTAAAGTGTTGTTTACACAAACCACAAATCTTACGTTGCCACATAAATATTTCTTATAACGACAAACTATTGAACTAAGGCGTTGCCGTACGAGCATTCATTAAAAAAGAAAATTTTGTTTAACATATGTTTCATATTTCCGCAACAATTCGTACTACAGGAGCTGTAAAAACGAGAATAACGAAGCAAAGTCAAAATTTGTTTCGCGTTCGTCCTATTCGCAGGACCTAAGCTTAATGGAAAACATTTGGAATTGGATGTTTTGAAAAGTTTGCGTGTCAGACAATAAATCTGATGATTAGCAATTGTTCTTCCCGGCTATTAAAGATGTCCTTGATTTTTCAAAGCGCCTCTACAATTTTTTCCATCCATTGGAATTAAGGATGTATTATCTAATACTAAAAGTGTTAATAATAACAGATTGGCGCTTACACATATGTTAGTCTTTAGCCGAGCTTCTCCTCCGATTTGTGGCGTGCGCCTTGATGCTGTCACGAAAAGGGGAGGGATCTACAGTTTTACGCCGACTCCGAACGGCGATTGTATTTTTATGAGAAGCTGTTTTTCATACACTCGGAGGTATGCCATTGCCTGCCGAGGGGTGACTGCTGTTAAGAAAAACCTTTTTTCTACATTTTTTTTGCGATGTTGCTTTGACCAGGGCTTGAACCCAGGCCCTGCGAAGTGGAAGCGCGCACTGTTTACCACTAAAAGTGTTATACAATATAAAAATAGATTAGTGATTACACATATGTTAGTGTTTGACCGAGCTTCTCCTCCGATTTGTGGCGTGCGCCTTGATGTTCAGCCTCATTGCGAAAGTCGTTAATTACGCTAAATTGTACGACTCGACATCATTGGCATTGTGTACCGCAGAAATATGTAAACGACGAAATTTTAGGCAATGATATGAAATTTTCGATACAATTGGACTCTCGAAATACGAACTGCATTCGACACGACTCTCGCAACGAGGCTGGTTGTCACACAAAGAGGAGGGACCTAAAGTTTTACGCCGACTCCGAGCGGCGATTGTATTTTTATAAAAAACTGGTTTTCATGGCAGAAATACACTCGGAGCTTTGCCATTGCCTGCCGAGGGGCGACCGCTGTTAAGAAAAAAAAAATTGTCTATATTTGTTTGCGATGTTGCTTTGTTGAGGTGTGGTAGCGGGCACTGCTAACCACTACACCACAGTGGCGTTCCCACGACAGTCGGCTCTACGTAACCGGAACGACCCAGATTTATATTTGGCCAAGTACTGTCACTCCAGCAACACTCCCCAAAAAACTCTTTAGGGAACTTGTATGCTGCTACAACAACAACACCGAAGCGGCCGTGTTATATAATAGAATTAAAATAAATGGTATGATTTTGTTGATTCAATCTAGTTGTTTTTGTAGCGGCTACAACAACCCCGCCCAGATCGGCTAGTATCTCAGTCGTTGTCGTCAAGCTCAACTAACGGAAGACCCAAGAAGCGTGCAGCTTCTATAGGGTCTGTCCACAAGGACAGAGGCGGTAGCTGTGTGGGGTTTTGTGGGCATGCGAAGAGATGTTTCGAATCGTGGGGTGTTTCTTCGCATGTCGGACACTCATTGGGCACATCTGCATATAGTGTACTCAGGTGTGAATTCAACCAGAGCGAAGTTGGGCTATAGTGGTCCGAGTCTACCGAGGCAGACGAAGCTCCGTCTCGTCCACGTCAGGTGGTTGTGTGCCCAGAACGGCAATCACAGGTCTGGAGTCTACGTAACTCGAGACTGACTCCCTGTGAATGCCGCTCAGAGCCTGTCCATATGCTGTCGGGTCCAGAGGTTGCTTTATGAACCCCTGGACTTCGTCGCGTCAGTTCGTATAGATGCCTTCTGACATGCCTTGGCGAGGGCTCCTCTGCAAGCAAGTGTCTGTTCGGGTGTCCACTTTTGTGGCTCCGTACTAAGAATTTCTTGCAGAGAATTGTATTGTGCTCGCTTATGAGGAGGAAGCATTTGCGTCTCGTCATGCAGGTGATGTTCTGGCGACATCAGAATACATTCGGTCGCGGCCCGGAGTCCTGTGTTCCGAATTGTCTGCAGCTTCATCCAATGTGTCCTACTGGTCCGCGGCGACCACACTTGTGCTTCGTAATTTCGAACCGGCCGGCCAATTGCATTGTATGTTGCCAGCAACGTTTCTTTGTCTTTGTCCCAAGTACTGCCGGCTAGCGACTTAAGGACCTTGTTGCGGCTCTTTACTTTGTTGACAATTGCGGTTGTATGCGCAGAGAAGATCAGACTGTCGAAAGTTACTCCCGAGTATTTTCGGGTTATTCACCGTCGGAATTGGTGTCATCATCATGAATACCTAGCGGTAGTCTAACTTCCTTCGTCCAGGTGGTAAACAGGGTAGCTGAGGATTTCGTAGGAGAGAGGGTTAGGCTCCTAGAAGTGAAGAAGCGAGAAAGCTCGGGGAGATACCCGTTTATTTTCGAGCACAAGTATGTGTGTTACCTGGTTGGGGCTTGCGAACGTGCAAGCTCGTCCAATCTCGCGTGGTGCGCAGACCTGAACATGCACTTAAGCGGCACCAGCCAACCCAGGTGTTGCACTGGACTGATGTCACATTACGGACTATCCTAGTCTGACACACCGTGCAGATTGTTGGAGGAACCCGGAGTGGTTGGAGGCGGCGTGTGGGTGGGGGTGCGGCTGTTTCTGCTGTATGGTGGTCTGTCGTGGTTGTTGTGTGGTCTCTTGTGTTGTGTTGTGGTGTTGTAGTTATTGTGTTGTGGTCTTGTGGTTATTGTGTTGTGGTGCTGGGGTTATTGTGTTGAGCAGCTCAGGCGGACGCTGTGGAGGCAGCTCTGTTTGAGCAGCAGAGGGCCATAAATCATGTGCTCCACTGCCGATAAGTCCGTAATCCTGAGCAGACTCTGAGGTGACTCCACCCATTGCAAGCGTTGCACTTGACTGAGGTGGAGTTGGGGTGTAGTCTCTGGCATACACAGCAGGTGTAAGTTTCTGACCCAGGGTTTGACTCGATGCCAGTCCTGAGCAGAAGAGTACGTAGCAGATGTAGGTAGGGTAAACCCGAGTCATTCCGGTAGGTAGAACCGGAATGGATTCAATCTAGTCTTTTCCTTGTGTTAAAGCCACTGTATTCAAGTGAATCAAAATAACAAGCATACATTTTTAGTTTGATAAAATGTGGAATAAAATCCAAAGTAATAGAGGTGTTTTTTCCATTTTCACCCTTTTTTTAATTGATCATTATTCAATATGAGATAAGACGAACCTTCTGCCGATGCGATATAAGCTTGACGTGTACCTATTCAAGTGAACTGGGTTGTACTTTATAAGGAAGAAACCTTGTGAACAAAAATTGCGAAAAATTTACTTCAGGCATGCACTTTATTATACTAAAATTTAATTGGATTAGAAAGTGGTAAAATAGTATGCAAATTTATAGAATTTTCCTGAGTTGTGCATAAAGTTTAGAAATTTTATTTTTGTGTTTTTTGTTGTAGTATGTATCAACTATATTTTTATAAAAAAAAAATGAGCGAAAAGAAATTATAATAAAAACTTTGCATACATTGCGAAATATTCCCTGTGCCAATACTTTCGTCCAGCACTGTATGTATGTGGCCACTCCGAATTATAAAACGTTCATACTGGCAGCATTTTCATGTGCACAGAAAGTGTCATCTCATTTTCTTTTGAGTTGACGTTTGCTTCTTCCGGTTGGGTGCTTGCGACTTCTTCCTTTTTTCTTTTCTTTGGACATCAAAACCGACTAGACGTAATTATCAATTAAGAGAATTTAACTGGTTATTATTGTAATTATACTCAAAGATAATACAAAGCAAATAAAGTAAATTTGTGTAGTAAATAAAGAACCCAAATTTGGTGACCCCGAAAAAAGGATGATGGGCACTGACGACGATTCTGCCAATCGCGACCAGAACAATGCAGCCATTAATACGGACGTAGTTAACGCTGGCTCGCACGTGGAGGCAACTTTTGCGATTCCTAAAATTAACCCACCGAGTATGGCTGATACTCACATTGAATCCTATTTCATGTCACTAGAGTTCTGGTTTGCGGCATCAGGGATTATAGCTGACTCAAAAAAATACAACATAGTAATGGCGCAAGTACCACCTGTTAAATTGTCAGAGCTGCAAAGCATTATTAGTGAATTACCGACACAAAATAAGTATGAATATGTTAAGGAGAAACTTATTAAGCATTTTGCAGAAAGTCAGCAGCGCCGCTTGCAAAAAGTCATCTCCGAGATGCCACTCGGCGACTTAAAGCCTAGCCAATTGTTCAGCAATATGAAACGAGTTGCTGGACAATCCTTAAATGAAAATATTTTAATAGATCTCTGGACAGCTCGACTCCCTGCCCAGGCACGAGCTGCAATCATAGCGTCAGAGCAAAAAATACTAAGAAAAGTAAAAATCGCTGATGATATAGTGGAATCCCTCAACCTCGGCGATAAATTTTATCCGGATTCCAACGTTCGAGCACTAACTAGTGAAAGAAACAACAGCGAAACCGTATCGGCACTAGAAACCTTACAGAAGGAAATCGCGCAATTATCTCAAAGACTGAATCACTATACAGCCGACCGTGAATCACCACGAAACCGCGGCCGAAATCGTCCGCGTGAATCCGTCCGTTCAAACATGGGTGGAGAGATGTGCTGGTACCATCTTACCTTTGGTAAGGACGCTCGAAGCTGTCGAAAACCTTGCTGTGTTGCACAGGCTCCCAACAAGCAATGACACACGCAGCACGTTGAAGCTGCTACTAAAATCCGCAAGTACGCAAAAACGGCTTCAATCAACCGCCTCAAAATCGCGGACACTCGCAACAATACTAAATTTTTAATCGACACCGGAGCTGACGTTTCGGTAATACCGAAATCTTTCAAGTTCTCAACCATTAATCCGACCAGAATGCAACTTTTTGCTGCTAATGGAACAAGCATAAAAGTACACGGCGAAACAATGCTTACGCTCAACCTGGGTCTACGGCGACAATTCTCGTGGAAGTTCCTCATAGCTGACGTAAACACTTGCATATTGGGTGCTGGTTTCATAAAGCATTTTCATAGACAATTCAACAAGTATTTACGCAAATTGTGAATACTCAAATACACCAGGTACGTTAATTAAAACATGCGATAGCTCCTTGCCACTACCTAGTATTTTAAGCAAGTACATCGACATCACCACGCCACAACAACCAGGCAGCCCCACTGAAACATCTATTCTGAATCGTATCGATACATACGGTCAGCCAGTTTTCTCACGCCCAAGAAGGCTGTCACCTGAAAAGCTACAAGCGGTAAGAAAGGAAATAGATGAACTCCTACGTCTGGGTATATGCCGACCGTCATCGAGTTGTTGGGCTAGTCCAATACATTTGGTTCCGAAAGCAAATGGGAAATGGAGGCTTTGTGGAGACTACCGCGCTCTAAACGCTGTCACTGTCCCAGACAGATACCCACTTCCCTTTCTACAAGACTTTACCTCTATTCTCTACGGTAAATCAGTTTTTTCAAAGATCGACCTACAGAGAGCGTTCCATCAGGTCGCCGTACACCCAGATGATATTCAGAAGACAGCAGTAACGACACCTTTTGGACTTTTTGAATTTCCTTTCATGACTTTCGGCCTACGAAATGCAGCTCAAACATTTCAACGTTTAATTCACCAGGTTGTCCGTGGCCTCGACTTCGTATTCGCCTATGTAGACGATATCTGCATTGCATCTCGCGACGTAGATGAGCATAATCAACACTTACGTATATTGTTCGATAGGCTACGTGCAAACAACCTCAAAATTAATGTTCCGAAATGCGAATTCGCGAAAAGTAAATTAACTTTTCTCGGCCATGAGATTACAAAAAATGGAATTCATCCAATTAAAGAGCGTGTGGCAGCAATCGAAACATTCAAATTGCCGAATACGGTGAAAGAGTTGAAAAGATTTTTGCGATGATAAATTTTTATCGAAGATTCATCCCAAAAGCAATCGATGCACAAAGGCATCTGTTCGCACTTACGCCGGGAAATAAAAAGAACGATAATTCAAAGATCGAGTGGAATCCCAAAGCCATAAAAGCATTCGAGGAATGTAAACGCCAATTAGTTCACGCATCAGGCTTAGCACATCCGCAAAAGGATGCTGAATTATCTCTTTGGGTAGATGCGTCTGATTTCGCTGCCGGCGCAGTCCTGCATCAAATTGTCAACGGGGAAATTCAACCCCTCGGGTACTTTTCGCGAAAATTCGACAATGCTCAAGTACGGTATAGTACGTATGACCGCGAGTTAACTGCGATTTACATGGCTGTGCAGCATTTTAAATATATCTTAGAGGGTAGGGAGTGTCACATATACACTGACCATAAGCCCCTAACTTTCGCATTTCATCAAAAACTGGAGAAGGCCTCAAATCGTCAAGCTCGTCAATTAGATGCCATTGGACAAATTACCACCGACATTAGGCATGTCGACGGTCAGTCCAATGCTACGGCTGACCTATTGTCACGCATCGGATCAATTCAATTGTCGCCGACTGTTGACTTCAACGCCTTAGCCAACGACCAAAGAAGCGGTGAAGAACTTCGTGAAATTCTTCAAAGCAGCAATTCCGGTAAAATATCATTGGCTCTCAAGTTGTATTCGATACCAGGAACAAACAAACAACTCTATTGCGATAACTCCAAGGAAACTGTTCGACCATTCGTAACTAAGGCATTCCGAAAGAGAGTAATGGCGTCTGTGCATAATCTGGCTCACCCCGGTAAGCACTCAACTGCCAAACAAGTAGCGGAGCGTTCCGTGTGGCCGTTCATGCAAAGAGACTGCATTCGATTCGCCCGAGCATGTCTCGATTGCCAGCGCGCTAAGATCAACCGGCACACTCGTTCGCCATTGCAGCCTTACACATTGCCTGATAAATGCTTTACGCATATAAATATTGACCTCGTCGGGCCCTTTCCGCCGTGTAAAGGACAGAGATACTGTCTCACTATTATTGAATGGCCAGAAGCCATTCCGATCCCAGATATGACAGCACCAACAATTGTAGATGCCTTGGTTTCCCATTGGATCGCACAATTCGGTGTTCCTACTTATATCACCTCAGACAGAGGTTCTCAATTTTTGAGCACCATCTTCACTGAGTTAACCCGTGTCTTAGGTATTGATCACCTGAGAACAACCTCGTATCATCCACAGTCCAACGGACTCATAGAGCGTTGGCACCGTACATTGAAAGCAGCCATCCTGTGCAAAGACACTGGCCATTGGGTCGATCAGTTACCAATCATACTGCTTGGACTGCGAACAGTTTATAAAACTGATCTGCAAGCAACAGCCTCAGAACTAGTTTACGGAACGACTCTTCGGTTACCAGCAGAATTTTTTGGTGAGAATAGAGATTTGCGCACGGAGACTGAGGTAGTGAATCAATTACGAGAAGCTATGAAGAATATACGTCCTCAACCCACCACTTGGCACTCGAATAAGAGCGTATTTGTTCCTCAAGAACTCACCAAATGTACACATGTTTTCATTCGAAATGACTCAATAAAACCGTCGCTGAGCAAACCATATGATGGCCCGTACCGCATCTTGAATAGAAACCCTAAATTTTATGAAATCCTTTTGGATGGGAGGAAGACCAACGTGTCGATCGATCGTTTAAAACCAGCCTATACTATTAGCAGTAACCAAGACGCCGAAACTTATGGCACACCTCAACCGGTACCGGAATCTACGGAATCTACGCGATCTGGTCGACCGGTTGGGTGCTTGTGACTTCTTCCTTTTTTCTTTTCTTTGGACCACAAAACCGACTAGACGTAATTATCAATTAAGAGAATTTAACTGGTTATTATTGTAATTATACTCAAAGATAATACAAAGCAAATAAAGTAAATTTGTGTAGTAAATAAAGAACCCAAATGTATATGCGTTTGAAAGTGTTTATGTTCTTCATATTTTCTAATATTTCATATTTTTAACATCAAAAAAACAGTTTTAGATATCGTATAGTTTTCGCTTCGACACATGTGAGCTGTGTTTCATAGAACACCAGACAAATACTATGAAACTCGATATGTTATCGTCCCCCTCATGTCAGAAGCATGAATATTCAAATTTACAAATTTTGAGTTAATTGGTTGACTTGATAACCTTGAATGTAGGGTTAAATCTCATAATAAAATCCAAACTTGATTTCCCAACATTTTCATGTGTCTGGCATAAGGGGGACGTTATATTTTAGAAATATAATCAGCCCTAACGCCAATTCCATGTGAATAAATAATTCCCATAATTTAACATGCAAAACAAAAACAAATTGGGAAACATTTTTGGGAATATTTCTGTGTTCGTATGGAATAGAAGCTTATGTCGAAAGGCTGGCTTTAGTATAATGCGGCATTCGCAGCATACGATTGCGAATGACTCACTGGCGCCGAGCCGTAGAACTTTTGGCAAATAAACGTGCAAGAAATAGTTCCGATACTAGCAAGTCAATAATTTTATTAAGTCTCATCAAAATATTCCTTGTCAGTTAAAGAATAAAGCGAATGCAGCATTATACTAAAGCCAACTTCCCGACATAAGCTACTATTCCATACGAACACAGATTTGTTCATGCGAAATTTGCGATAGGGCCGAATAATAAATTAATTACATACCGGATTGTGCCTGCGCAATAACGTCACGACCCTTCACACAAGGAATGATGGCACGCTGCTGAATTGCAGACGGTTTTTCAAAACCATAACCATAGATACCACGTAGTAACTCTTCGCGCAAATTCATATCATCAAAGTTGTCATATACCTCGTGCCAAGTTGACTCGATAACTCCCTCTGGATCCATACCGCCGGGACCTTCATGAGCTATATCACTTCGATCATCCCTACGGAAAAAGATTTTTAAATAATGAATTCTAAAAATACAGTTAAAATTAAAATTTTTCTTTTTATATCCCAGAAGGTGGTTCAAACATGCCTTTTTAAGTTAAGCCATTCGAGAAGGACCTTTTTCTTTGCTGTTTACGCGAATGTACATATCGCTCATTTGCTCAAGAGAGAGTTAGGATGGCTCGTAACAATTCAAATTATCATTTAGCGATTTCATAACATTGCAAATTTGTATGGCTAAACTTTTACTTGTAAAAATTTGCCAGTGGGCCATTCCGTGTAAAGTTCTCCCTTGTTTTCAATATCATAATGCTTAAACTTACTTTTCTAATGTACTGAATTAGATATTTTATTTTACGAAACGAGTGTGAAACACACAAAACATATTAATAAAATTACTTCAATAAAAAAATATATATAGTTTGAATACATATGGGTATTTACATGCAGCCGTAAGCGACATTTATACGCTTATACGATACATTTTTAAAATCGGATAACGGAAAGACGTGTAGGCACTCGAGTTCATATAAAACGGCAACTCAAATTTATTTCAAACGAGAAAACGAATTACAAACGATGAAGAATTATAACTGACTGACTAAATGTGAAAAAATTTTACGTTGAATTCGAATTTTTAAAATTAGCACACTAAGCAACTATGTCTCACTCGTGTACTTGTGTACAGTAGCCATAGTAGTCCCCCCGGAGTGACTTTCACCACAAAAACAGTGTCTGAAATTCGTTTCAAAATCTCAAAAGCTCCTCGATACGGCTGCTGCAACGGTTGTTTCACTTCGTCTACCCGAACAAAAACGTGTGTGCAAGTGCGCAATGACTGATGATGGAAAGCTCTGGTTTTATTATGGTGAGCTGCCCGTTCTGATTGTATTTTGCGCATAAAATCCTGAAAATCATTTATGAACTGGAGTGGTTCTACTGTTTTACCTTGATCCAAAAAATAATCGCCTGGCAGGTGCAGCGTTGTTCCATACAGCATCTCTGCCGCACTGGCGTGGATGTCAGCCTTGTAACTTGTGCGAAGTCCCAGCATCACAACAGGTAGCGAATCCACCCAACTCGTTGAAGCATGACACATAAGCGTCGCCTTTAGCGACCTGTGCCAACGTTCGATCATACCATTAGATGCTGGGTGATAAGGAGTTGTCCTTATGCGTTTGCATCAGTAAAGACTTCGAAAATCTTAGATTCGAACTGTGTTCCCCTATCGCTGGTGATTGTAACGGGTGCTCCAAACCTGCTGATCCAAACTTCAAGAAGCGCTTTGATGACGGTTTTTACATATATGTCTTTTAAGGGTATGGCTTCTGGCCATCGTATGAAGCGGTCAATTACTGTCAAACAGTATCGATAACCCTTGCGGTATGGCATTACTACGATATCGATGTGTATATGTTTGAAGCGTTCTTTCGTGCCTTTGGATTTTACTTCTCTGACAGTGTAAGCAGTTACGAGCCCATTTTGTTGTGTCGCGATTCATATGCGGCCACACATATCGTTGGTTGATAAGTTTTTGAGTCGCACGGGCGTACGGATGCGATAAGTCATGTGCATTCTTGAATATCGAAAATCGAAGCTTTTTGGGTATTTTTAGGACGGATCACATCGGGGTCACCAATTGTAGGCACTCGAGTTCATATAAAACGGCAACTCAAATTTATTTCAAACGAGAAAACGATGAATAATTATAACTGACTGACTGAAAGTGAAAAAATGTGACGTTGAATTTTAATTTTTAAAATTAGCACACTAAGCAACTATGTCTCACTCGTGTACGTGTGTACAGTAGCCATAGACGTGGCTTAGAGGCCCTAAAGTTCGACATTTTTATGAAATTTTTCCCCAAGAAGTCAAGATTGCCTATAAGTCAGTGGGTAATTTAATTAGGAATTCACAAGACGTGTTAACCGTTTTCAAGATACATGCTCTTTTTCTCCGGAAATCACAGTTTTCATTATTTTGAAACGCAGAGCATATAAAGTTATTATTAATATTATAAATTATGACTATACATTGTGCACTGACACTATTTAGTTTATGATTAAAAAATGGAGTTCATCAATTTGTGCAGTGAGCGGCTAAGTTGGGGAGAAAATGTCGATCGTATCAACCCCATGGCCTCGGCGAATATTGACATGAATTCTTTTACACCTAACCACCACGTCACCGCATAATTATCTAATAAAAGTGGCATACCGCATAGGGCATCAGCATCAGGAGTTTTCTCGATGTCGTAGACTGTTACAGCAGCAACAAATTCCTCTACCGCTTCTGGATCACATTGTCCTCTAAAGCGCGACGTGCATTGTTTAAAAGAATCGTTGGCCAGTCACTCCAATTCCTTAATCTTTTGTAGTGACCGCGAACACGCCTCTTCATGGACCTGTCCGATAATCCGAACGAGAGTTGCACACAGGAGGAAGTTTTATATGTAAACGAATGAAAACGTGTATGTGTATAATACTAAAATTGTCTTTATTGAAGTTAGTTGTCCGAAGCAGTATTGGGCGAACCAACTCAACCGACGCACATTGTGTCATCGACGTGAATTCCCAGCGGTAGCCTGACCTCCTTCGTCCAGGTTGTGAACCGGGTCGCAGAGGATTTCGTAGGGGAGAGGGCTAGACAGTGAAGAAGCGAAAAAGTTGGGAGAGATACCCGTTTACTTTCGAACACAGGTCATCAATTCCATTCCCAGTCGCCATGATCGAGCAATCGTCGGCGTAAGAGACATTCGAGACTCCCTCTGGTGGTTGAGGGAGCTTTGAAATGTAAAAGTTAAACAGTAGCGGGGAAAGGACACCACCCTGTGGAACCCCCTGTTTTATTTTCCTGAATTTACTCGTTTTGTCTCTAAACATTACCGACGAGTGTCGACCACTCAGATAATTTGCCGACCACCGTTTGAGCCTCTGTGGGAGAGAGGAGGCCTCTATATCTTCTAGTAGCGTGGTATGGCAGACGGTGTCAAACGCCTTTGACAAGTCCAACGCTACTAGAATCGTTCTCTCACAGGGACGGTTTCGGTTAAGGCCACGAGTTATCTGAGTGTTTATGGCGTGAAGTGCTATTGTGCTGTGCACTTTACGGAAACCATGCTGATGCTTCGCTGGGGTCAAGTGGTTTGTGAAGTACGGGAGTAGCAAGGCCTCGAGTGTCTTCGCTACCGGGGAAAGGAGTGTTATCGGACGATAAGAATCTCCTTTGTTGGCAGGTTTCCCCGGTTTGAGCAGTGGGACCACTCTCCCCACCTTCGAGATGTCTGGGATGGTGAGAGTGGCCATAGACTAGTTGAGGACCTCCGTTAGGTACGCTACCCCCGCAGGACCCAAATTTTTCAGCATCAGCATGCATATTCCGTCGGGACCCATGGCTTTGGAGGCTTTCGCCTTCCCGATGGCCACCTGAACTTCACCGCAAGTGAAAGCAAGGGGGCACAGGTTGTTGGCAGTTTGTGCAGCCTTCTGGTCACTCGACGCTTGGCTTTGTCCACCGGAGGATGCAGTATGAACTGCCGGCTAAAATAGCACGCGCATCGCTCCGGGTCCGACGAAGCATGGTCGCCGAAGGAAATTTGGACTCTGTCGTCGTGCTTCGTCGGATTGGACAGCGACCTCACGGTTGATGCTCCTCCCACTTCTTCCGCTTATGTACGTTCACTAGTTGCCGAATCTCCGCGTTGAGATCCCTGATAAGGCGATCTCCGGGATCGGCCTGACGAAGGCTATCACGCTCATCGGCTAGAACAGCCGCTTGGCAGGGAAGTTTGGACGTGGGTCCGTTATACATCCTGCCGGTATGAAGCGAGCTGCAGCAGCAGTGACAGCCCTGCGGAACTTACGTTCACCGAGATGGACGTCGGTTGGTGTGGGAAGCGCTGTGAAGGTGTTTTCGGTAAACTCCGCGTAACCTTTCCAATCAGCTTTAGAAAAGTTTATATAGGTCCGGTGTTTGGCGGAGGCAAAGTCGGTTAGTTTATCTATCGAGATGACTATGGGTAGGTGGTCTGATGCTAAAGTCAGCATAGGTCGCCATGTTATGCTGTTTATCAGACCAGCGCTGACTATGGTGATGTCTGGCGAGCTACTGCAGTTACCCATAATCCTGGTGGATGCGTCGTCGTTCATTGTGCAGAATGTCGAATCGTCTATTTGCTCAGCCAAGTCTGTTCCCCTACGATCGTTTGACAGGCTTGAGTGCCAAAGATCGTGGTGCGCATTAAGGTCACCTACTACCATACGGTTTTCACCTCTGAGGAGCGCACCTATATCAGGGTGATATCCTGCCGGGCAGCAGGTGACAGGGTATATGTTAAATATTTCGAGCTCAACATCGCCTGACCGGATAGCAATGCCCTGAATAACCCCAAAATACTCGGAGTAACATTCGACAGCCTGCTCTCCTTCTCTGCGCACGCAACCGCAATAAAGTACAGAGCCGAAACAAGGTCCTCAAGTCGCTAGCCGGCGGTACTTGGGGCAAATACGTTGCTGGCAACATACAAGGCAATAGGCCGGCCGGTTTTGAACTACGCAGCGCCAGTGTGGTCGCCGGGGACTAGTAGGACGCAGTGGACGAAGCTACAGACTGTACAGAACACCGCACTCAGGATAGCGACAGGATGCCTCCTGATGTCGCCCTAACACCATCTCCACGGCGAGGCGCAAATGCTCCCCGTAAAGGAGCACAACATAATGCTCTGCAAGCAGTTCCTGATCGGGAGCCACAGAAGTGGCCACCCAAACAGACAGCTGCTTGCAGGGGAGCCCTCGCCTAGGCACGTCAGGAGGCATCTATATGAACTGGCGGACGAAGTCCGTCAGCTTACCGACTGGCCCTGAACGGCATTCACAGGGAGTCAGTCACGAGTTATGTAGACTCTAGGCCTGTGAATGCCGTTCTAGGCATACCGCCCCCGGACACAGACGAGACGGAGCTTCGTCTGCCTCGGGAGACACGAACGACACTAGCACAACTTCGTTCCGGCTACTGCAGCAGGTTAAACTCCTACCTGAGTAGATTGAATGAGGATGTGCCAAATGAGTGTCCGGCATGCGGAGAGACCCCACATGACTCGAAACATCTCTTCGCATGCCCGGAAAACCCGACAACCCTAACGGCCTTGTCCCTGTGGACCAAGCCCACAGAAGCTGCACGCTTCCTAGGGCTGCCGTTAGTGGAACTTGACGACAACGACTGAGATACCAACCGTCCTGGGCGGGGTTGTTGTAGCCGCTACAACAACAACAACGCACATTGTGCCCATTTTCATTTATAGCATGCTTTTTGGTATTCTGGCTGAAAAATATTCAGCTACTAAGTCAATCTAATAAATTCAAAAGAAAAAACACAAACAAAAGTAATCGCGATCAAACGTTGAATATTGTGACGCGAAAAATATTAATTTTTTTAGGGTGAAGTTTTTCGCATACTTTTAAGTTGCAGTACTTGTTTTTTCGAAGTTATTTTAAAATAATTCTTAATGCGTGGTTTAGCTTAAATATCTTCTAATATATTTGGTAAGTTTCAAACCTGTATTACAGGTTGATAACTTTCCTTATATATAAACAAAAATTATTCGAAACATTTATAATTTTGAAAACATTAACGGCCCTATTCATAAAAAATAAAAAAGGGGTGGGCTTTAGTAGTCAACCAGGTGGAATTAATAATTTAAACTTGGTCAGGATGTTAAGGGAGGCATACTCTAAAACATGTATAACTAAAAAATATAAACAATATAATTGTTTATAAGTTATTTGTTAACATTTCTTAAGACGTGTCACTTGATTTCCTTATCAAAGAGTGCATTTGTCACATACATTATAGATATGACCGATACTGTATATATGGGCCGTTCTTACGGTTTATATATTTTTCATCCACTCGCTTATTCCTTACCGAAAATTTTAAATAAAAATTTAACAAGTTTTAACCGCTAATACAGTACAGGTAGCCGTTTAAAATGGGTAACTAGGTAAACTTAATAAAGAAAACATATTCTCTGGCTAAATAATAAGCCTGCCCGGATAACATAAAATCCCAAGCTTGATAAACATTTGGTGTTATAAAAGTTTTATAAAGCTCTACTTGTAATTAGGAAAAATTCCGAAAAAATATTATAAAATTGATTCATTGATTGATTGATTGATAAAAATAGAGAGGGAGTTATGGCTATGACAATAGAAACTAGAAAAAAGGTCCCTCGTGTTGAAAGCAAAAAGGATCTAAAACCAAAAAAAAAAAATAAATACATTGTTAATCATACAAAAATTTATGATACGAAAAATAATTTGAAATATTGTAAATTTTTTTTTTGGTTTATTAAAGTTAACCCTAGAACACACACCCAGAAAATACCACGTAAACACACACCCGGGATACGTTTGTACCCGGGACCTTATTTTGCGGTTTTTTAATGCTTATTCAACCGATGTCTATGATTTTTTTTTTTGAAATGTATATTTTAATATATAACAAGTATTTTGTCTTTTGTTTCATTCGAATATTCCTACTGGTTCCAGCGATATGGGCAAATAAAGTCAGGGCATGCAACAGTGGATTTTTGTTGTTGTCCTGATAAATGCAAAACAAAATAATATAATTTATAATAATATACTTGTAGAGTAACAACGAATACACATTTTGGTTTTTATTTCATTGAAATATTCTACCTGGTTCAAAAGATATGTGCAAAAAGGTCGCGCAAGGTATGGGTACGTAGGTAGCAAATACACTGGTATAACTGGTTTTTGTATTTTATATGCAGCTGCAAGGGTTGTTTTCACACGAGGTGTTGTTATAAATGCTGCCTGTTGATATTTTCATTATTGTTTTGGTGCTCAAAAGTGTAAGAAG